GCGCTCCGGGGCTGCCGACGCGGCGGGCGCGGGTCGGCACGTGATAGGGCGGGGCCAGAGGAGGCCACGCCCACCAGGCCACGCCTCCGCGCAGGTCCCACGCTGCCCCACGGAGATCCCGGCACCGCGCTGGAGGGTCAGGCTCGCCCAGTCTTCTTTCTTCCAGACCACCAACCTGCTCAAAGCCCATCAAGCCAGCCTCCCAAGGCCTGCGCCCTCTCATCCTCCAGAAGTAGGCTTGACAGATAAAATACAGGATGCCTGGTGAAATCTGAATTTCAGGTAACGAATAATTCTTTTAGTATTTTTATTCAGGAGGGTCTTCCTCCACCACCTTCTCTAAAATGACATGCCCCGCTTCCCTCCATACTCGACCTTATTTTCTCCCTAACACATTACACTATCGAGGTACTAGAGATTTACTTATTTTGTTAAAGGATCATTTCCCCCCAAAAAAGACATGATTCTCATACATTATGAAATGATATGAAATGAACATGTGTTAAATATTTTCTTTAATTCGCTAAATGAGGGAACCATGCAGACTTTATAATTCGTTCAAAAGAGAAGTCATAAAAGGGCAAATTTATACAGAATAAAGGAATGTTGGAACAGATGGGCAAATGGACTCAAAACTAGATCTTCTACCAGCAGCAAGGGTTGTTCCATCCAGCAGACGGAATTAATTTGCATGTCTATAGGCAAGGATTATTTGCATTGGTATCAATTCTCTACAACTAACAGAGTTGTAAGACATCTCTGAGGCAATGAAAGCTAGGCCTGGAAAGGTGTGCTGTCTAAACAATGCATAATTTTCCACTGAAGCACAAATTCTCTACACGCTGCATTACCTGTTTCACCCCACTAATATAAGCAGGGACTTTCCTTTGTAGACTTCTAGAATAGTGCCTGGCACACCAGTGCCAATAAGTATTTGTTGAATGGCCAAATGAACAGTGGAAGCAACAAGAGGTAGCTATGGAACTTCAGGTCCCATCCCTACCACAAATACACAATCTAAGTTAAAAAGCACATTTGCTGTGCTATCTCAGCTCCAAAATAAGTCCACACACATCTCCATCTGATAGATTTGCTGCCCACAGCCCCTTTCTACATGGAAATTATGAAACTGTTGCTGAATGACAAGTGACTGAGCTGCTTACCATGTGCCAGGTTCTATGCTAAACCTTTTACGGTTGTTACCTGTCTTAGTAAACTTGGGGGGTTATAACAAAATACCGTAAAGTGGGTGGGCTAAAGGACAGACATTTAATTCTCACAGGTCTGGAGGCTAAGTCCAAGATCAAGGTGCTGCACATTGAGTTCTTAGGGAGAACCCTCTTCTTGGTTTGCAGAGGGCTGCCTTCATGCTGTGTGCTCACACAGTGGAGAGAGACAGCTCTGGTCTCTTCCTCTTATAAGGGCCCTAATCCCATCATAAGGGCCCCACCCTCCTAACAGCATCTAAACCTAATTACACCCCAAAGCCCTCACCTCCAAATACCATCACATGCAGGTTAGAGCTTCAACATATGAATTTTAAGGGGACACGTTCAGTCCATAACATTATTCATGTAGGGGAGATTTTGTATTTCAGTGAAAACTGTGCATTGTCTATAGCACACCCTTCTGTGTTATCTGATTTTGGTTCTTTGGGAATTATTTTACATCTCTGTAAACAGTAGATAACTGAAAGCAATGGAAAATTATTCTTGCCTATAGACGTGCAAATAAATTCTGTCCCAGGAAGACACAACTCTCTCCCTGTGGAAAAATCAGTTTTGCCTCCCTTTGCACATTCATTTCAATATTCCTGACCTATAAATGAGTCTGATTTATTTTTTTTTGTGAGGAAGATCAGCCCTGAGCTAACATCCATGCTAATCCTCCTCTTTTTGTTGAGGAAGACCGGCTCTGAGCTAACATCTATTGCCAATCCTCCTCCTTTTTTGTTTTTCCTCCAAAGCCCCAGTAGACAGTTGTATGTCACAGCTGCACATCCTTCTAGTTGCTGTATGTAGGACACGGCCTCAGCATGGCCGGAGAAGCGGTGCGTCGATGCATGCCCAGGATCCGAACCCGGGCCGCCAGCAGCGGAGCATGCGCACTTAACCGCTAAGCCACGGGGCCGGCCCTAAATGTGTCTGTTGTTTGGATTCTCCTTTGAACTAGTTGTGACATCTCACCAGTTTCTTCATTAATGAGTTAAATAAAAGCTTTGGGGCTGGCCCAGTAGCATAGTGATTAAGTTTGTGCACTCAGCTTCAGTGGCTGGGGGTTAGAGGTTTCGGATCCTGGGCATGGACAGACACACCACTCATTGAGCCATGCTGTGGCGGCGTCCCACATAGAAAATAGAGGAAGACTGGAAGACTGGCACACATGTTGGCTCAGGGCCAATCTTCCTCACCCCAAAAAAATCTTTAACACATGTTCATCTCTTGAAAATTGTAAACATCTGACAGCACGGGAACTGGGTTTGCTCATTGCAACAAATGCCTGGAGATGACTAGAGAGGGTGCCCTGTAGAGGGGGCAGGAGCTCTCCCTTTTGCCAAGGACCATCCATCACTTCCTAAATATTTCTTTTATTTTTTTGTGAGGAAGATCAGCCCTGAGCTAACATCTGACGCCAATCCTCCTCTTTTTTGCTAAGGAAGACTGGCCCTGGGCTAACATCCGTGCCCACCTTCCTCTACTTTATATGGGACGCCGCCACAGCTGTGGCTTGACTAGCAGTGTGTCGGTGGTGCCCGGGATCCGAAGCTGAATGTGCGCTTAACCGCTGCGCCACCAAGTGGGCTCCCCTAAGTGTTTCTTATACCTGGCTTACGTTACTTATTTTAAGCACCTGCAATCATTTAACATTTTGACATGTAGATCAGTGGTTTTCAAACTAGCATTTGTCAGAATCACCTGGAGGGCTTGTTAAAACAGACTGCAGGGCCCAACCCACACAGTTTCTGATTCAGTAGGTCTGGGGATGCCCAAGAATCTGTCTGTCTAATTAGTCTCCAAGCGATGCTGATGCTGCTGGTCTGGGGACCACAACTAAAAGGTTAAAGAGGGCCGGCCCTGTGGCTTAGCGGTTAAGTGCACGCGCTCTGCTACTGGCGCCCGGGTTCGGATCCCGGGCGCGCACTGACGCACCGCTTCTCCAGCCATGCTGAGGCCACATCCCACATACAGCAGCTAGAAGGATGTGCAACTATGACATACAGCTATCTACTGGGGCTTTGGGGAAGAAAAAAAGGAGGAGGATTGGCAATAGATGTTAGCTCAGAGCGGGTCTTCCTCAGCAAAAAGAGGAGGATTAGCACGGATGTTAGCTCAGGGCTGATCTCCCTCACCAAAAAAAAAAAAGGTTAAAGAATAAGTGGGCAGTAAGGAAGTGGTTTGGGAGTTCAATGTAGTGGTTGCATGTATAGGCTTTGGCTTCAGACAAAACTACGTGTCACCCCCCACGAGGCCTTCCTAGGCCCCCTCTTGCCTGCTTGTGCAGCCCTTCCTGCCCTAGCTCCCCTCTGCTTTCCATTTCCTTCCCTATGTCATGTGTATGGCCCATGGTCTGTCTCCCCTTTCTGGACTATAGGCAGGGCCCATGTCTAATTCATCGAACTTCTAGCACTTAATAGGACAAAATAACTATTGGTGGAACTGGAGTCCTCTGGCACTCGCTGCTTAGCTCTAAGCACCAGATGGGAGCTAACTGGACCTCGATTCCTTCTTTCCCCATTGCTTACCTTTGCATGTTCTGTTCCCTCAGCCAGGAATGTCCTCTCTCTGTTGTCTGTCAAACTACTTTAGAGTTGGGCTGCCAGATTTAGCCAATAAAAATACAGGAAGCCCAGTTAAATCTGAATTGCAGACAAACAGCAAATAATGTTTTAGCACAAGTACGTTGCAAATATTGCATTAGACGTTCTTATACTGAAAAATTACTTGCTGTTTATCTGAAATTAAAATTAAAAAGCAACAACCTAATTCCTTCTCGAGAAAGTGTTCCCCAACTGGCTTCCCCCACCCAAGGATATCCACATCCCTGTATCGTTTTGCCTGCCCCTTCAACCACCCGCTCCACACTTGTGTTATTGTACTTGTTAGTCTCCCATGAGACTCTGATCTCTTTGAGGCAGGAGCCTTATCTTTTGTGCATTTGTTTGTTTATTTTTAAAAGCTTCACAAATACAGTAAGTAAATGGGCGTGACAAGCACCTGTGGACCGAGCACCCACACTTAATGAGCCCTTGTCTTATTCCTTTCCACACGCCCAGGCCTAACAGGGCCTGACACATAGTAGGTGTTTGTCGAATGAATGAATGAAGACAGGATTGAATGGACTCAGTCAAGAGGGGTTCTCAAGATAGAGAAGGCCTTCCCCTCTTGACTAGGCTGTCCTACTGCAGTTAGGATTGAGGGGGGTGGTAGGTGGCAGAGCTGAGGGGACGCCAGCCTGGAGGGAAAGGCTGTGACCCTAACATTTTGTCCAGCTATGAAGGATAAGTTGGAGATCTCCAAGGCATCATGAGCATGAGTGCCAAGCCAAATTTATACCACCTTCTAAATTAAAAAAACATTCCCATCCTGTGATTCACGGATGAAAATAGTAACCACAAGTGACGTGAAGTTCCTGAATGCTGCAAAACAGTATCTTAACTAAACATAGTGACTTTGGCAAAGCCAGCACCTGTGTACTTGGTTGCTCACCCTGACCATTCAATTCAATCAGATGTGCGTCTGGTCTTTCATTCAACAATATTTACTGAGGGCCTACTATGTGAACAGGCACCATTCTCAGTACTAGGTGTACAGTAGTGAACCAGACAGACGAGGTCCCTGTTCTCATGGACTTTACAACCTGACAGTAAC